ATCATCGACTACATTATGAATATTAATCATTTTATAACCAATTATTTGTACCTAAACTAGAGACTACAATTAGAACTGGATTGTTTTTTTAAAATAAGTGATATCTGCCAGTGAACTGAGTTGTAAACTCCTTAGAAAGTTCTGATACTTAATACAATTGAAGGATGGGTGTTTGAGCTTATCGGTAGCCCATTTATCGAGGAAAGCTCTTACATCAAAACAATTCACACAGAAACATTTAGTCCCCCTAAGTAGAGCTTGACATCTGATATAAATACGTAGATACATTTTTTTTGTAAATACATACATATTATATATACAAACACTCAGACCAGTATAAATAATCATACTCATGAATACAAATATTTGTATGTACCATGCGAGGAATCGATCCTGCGTACATCGGAAGTAAGGCGGTATGCTAAACCACTAGACCACTGAGATCGTCAGTTGTTATTATTAACATATTATGGCCTTACTGAAAGGTAGCCTATATCAATGTGATGATAGGTAACTATGTCACCTATATTTACTCATTCGCTAATGTGGAAACAGTTCTAACATCTATACATATAAATAAAATTGGAGTGTCTGTTTGTAATATTGAAATAACCGTTTTTTACTACATGCATATGAATATATATATGGTACATACAACAAATTATTTTTTTTACAATTTTTGTCTGGCTGTTTGTCGGTCGGTTTGTTCCGGCTAATCTCTGAAATGGTTGGACTGATTTTGACGGGAATTTTTATGGCAGGTATAGCTGATGTAATAAGGAGTAACTTAGGTTACTTTTATTTTAGAAAAATAAAGTTAAATTCCACGCGGACGAAGTCGCGGGCACAGCTAGTAATAAACATAATATTTGCTACAGAACAGCGCATCGTTGTGTGCAAATCATAAAACACGCATGTATTTATAAAATTATGTCAACATTGCAACAAAGTTACGTTTCAATGTTTACGTAGGTAGAATTTTTATCGCAGACCACACTGGACCCTTTGTTTTGATGAACACAAAAGGCGTTGTGACAAAAAACTGGCACAGAAATGCAGTGTCGATAGCTGACAGCCTCAGCCCACGTGAATATGGCGTCCCGTTAGTATAGTTCGTTAGCAAACCTGTTCCTATCACCAGAGAATTCGTAAAGTAGATGGATTCTGCAATCATAACTATACCGGCACAGTATAAACAGTCAGACATCCGTATCAATATCATAAATGAGAATATGAGATTGTCTGTCTGTTGTCTAAACAATTATAATTTGACAAAAATATATATTGTATCTTTATGATTTGTACGCTATTTTCTACCTCAAGCTTATAACGAGCGAGTAAACCCACTCAAAATTGTTTTATAATGGACGAAGACGTTTTCGAAGATGGTTCAAAATGGACTGCCTTGTCTTCTGAAACGGCAATTACAATTATGTATATTTTACAGTTCTATAAGCAATCATTAAATAATTTGTAGTAAACGATAACAATTTTAGAAATGTGTTTTTATTTTAAATATTGTGTAAAATGTATCATTTTGTAATGGTTTGTTTACCTAAATAAATAAAAAAGTATTAGAAAATGTGAGGACTTATCCTAACAAAAACCGCGTGGAGGTCAACCTGACATGGTACATTGCTAGCAATGGGGTTATCAATCCACATTACTAACAATCCCTTTCCCCCCCATAAAAAAGTATTAGAAAATGTGAGGACTTATCCTAACAAAAAGAGCATGGTTGGGACGGAGTTTTTGTGTGATACTAGTAGTTTCATTGGTAGCACTAGTAAATTACCGTGTCAGCTAAACTAATTTTGTATCATCTTCACTATCTATCTACAAACGGATATCAACTTCCATAGTAAGATTTTATCTGAATAAGTATACAATGAATACTGAATATTTCTATGCCATTCTTGATTCTTTTTGGTATTTGTTTATTATTTAAATAGCATGTTGTAAACAAAATGCGCATATGCGTATCGTTTAAATTCAACAAAATAATTGGTGTCGAATTTCTGACTCAGATGTTATCTGAGAAGGGCTTGATTTATGACGTGTAAAGCTAATCTGTGCTAGGGTGTCGACAAATGGAATGAGGAGCTGTGATAATTGCTGTCTTGATAGTTCTGTCGGAAAGTCGTGACTGACGACAGAGCTGTACTACACAGTTTTATACAGAGTGAATACTTTTCGCTAGTGCTCATTCTGTATATTTTTTATGGCATCGATTTTATAGATGATGATAAGTCTTACCTGCCGCCTATATACTTGAACAGTACCCCAAATACTACAAGATGTCACGTCTCATTGTAAGTAAATTCACTATCAGATGAAGTGAGATAGAGGCATCCAGGTAGACGACTGTGTACAAAGTCTACCTCGGTATTTTTATTACTTTGCAGATATTTAAGTTATTGCAAGCCGATAATTATTTGCTCTAAGAATACAATAAATTTTAAGTACCTACCTAATACTATTATACCTACTAATACTTGTTATCAGTAACCGTTTTGCGCCATACTGTCTGTTATATCCGTGTACTTATAAGCCATCCTTGTGGTATATCAGTGATAAGATAACATATGACCATGTTCGTGATGAGTATTATTCACATATATACATATATATAGTTACAGGTCTTTCATAAAAGTATTAATATATAAATATACAAATTAAAACCTTGGTTATAGGTATGAATTTGAATTTACACGTAGATATACTAGAATAGCTCCAATGAACTGTTTACGAACGGTCTCAGTTTATATGAGGTACCAAATGAATTATTATTATTTTGTAACACACAAACTCATATAACTCATACAAACTTGTCTATCCTTCAGGCAAAACACAAGTGACGTTTACTAAAAAAAGTGGTCAAAATTTAATTTAAGTTGGCTTATTGTTAGTTTCATAAGAATTCTTTTTTGGTCTTCTGTCCTGAAATTGATGGGTATAGTTCAAAATCGTTTCTTAGTAGTGTATGGGAATTTATTACTAAATAGTATAAATGTTTGTTATATGTATTTATGATTCCATTTCGATTTATTAAGTCTATTGACTGGTCTTTGGACTAATGATTTCGTTATTCTTGTATTTTGTACCTTGGTTATGTACCCACTCTATAACCTTATTAAAGAACATATCGGTACTAAAATCATAGATTTATCATTATAATACCTAAGTATGTAGTTGAATTTTAAATACTACAAAAAATATTAAGGCAAGATTTACCTACTTATAAAATTGCGTCCGATTACCATTACGTACCTACCTACATATATGCGAGTAATATCAAAAAAGGTATATGCACGAGGTTAGTGCTGTAGTAAACGCATAATTTGCATTCATAATAAGTCGATATGTTTACATAAATATTACCTACTACATATGTTGCGTAGGTAAAATTAAATATTTTTGTACACACTTGTTCTTAACAGGGTTACTAATATTCATTGTGGGATGTTATAAGTTCGTCTATTTATTATTTGGGCATCAATGCTCATAAACGGATGGACCGATTTTGATGCAGTATATTATTGTAAATCGGACGTGAAATACGGTTCTGAGATCTGTAGATTCGGACATTCGAATATTATGACTTCATTCTCTAGTCGACGAGGGAACTTTACCAATTTGTTATGCGAATGATTTTTTAAAATAAATTTGTGTTTTTTAAATGAAATGTCCTTTCGCACCGACATTAAAACCATAGATAAGGTATTACATAGTAAAACAGACTATCGTACAGTTAAATATGTTACATAGCAGATGTGTAGTAAATTATCTGTCGAGGTATCTATATGTTGACCTGTGGAATAATAATTACGATATTGACCTCTTTTATAATATACCACGATATTGCAATACGAGTAAGTTTTATCAAATTATACGGTACAGAATAACATCGCTTGCATATCGCAGAAAATCTATTGCTTAGTGTCATTTAAAATATAATCAAAATTTTGGATTTTGAGTTTATCGAATATTATCGAGGCTGTAGACAATGCTTCTATCTTCCACACATGGTATTCCAGACGCAAAAATTCATATAATATAGTGCTATTGAAGTGCAATATATTAATCTACATGTAACTCAGATTTACTTCATCCACCTACCTAAGTTGATAAGTTCAGGTAAGCAAACGGTCGGTGGCCCGTGTCCGCAAGGACGTTGCTGCGCGGGTGGAAGCAAATGTTCCACAACATCTCAACCAATCAGTGCCCACGTTTTACAGTGTGCGTGTTTCCGCGTACGTACGGATGGTGGACGATGGGTGGTTTGGCAAGTGACATTGACAACTTGTGTTGCCATCAAAATACTGATTTTTACATATATCGTACGTTAATAGTTATAATCCTGTCTATTATTGTTATATTTAATTACGAATAGTGATTATTTGTAGATATCCACACAAATGTTTCTGTATGTTAAATAAGTTAATGTATATGTGAATTCATGAATATTAATTGCATAGTTGAGGGAAATCCGTTTAAAATGTTTGATTATGGTGAGTCTTGGTTTCAGTGATTAACCGTTGATAATTGATTCTTAGGTTAATAATTTTATTAATAACTCCTACAGTTACTTGAAGTAAAGCAGACAACAAAACAACGGTTTATATAAATAAAGATATTTGGAACCATTTAAATACAGAACCATGAACATATAAACATCTAAAAAATTTAAATCTGAAAAAAACTAATAAATATATTATTACTACTTTATTGGTGCAATTAGAACTGAGAAATATTTTTGGTCGCCTAACAAATAAAAAACACTAATATCCAAATTTTATTTGACTATAAACTATTATATACAAAATAATAGACATCTATAGTGTAATAATGATAAATAAGTAAATAAAACAGAGTAATTTTCTAAATACGATATACTGGTAACATTATTATCTTGCGCGCGCTGCCGCTTACTGATGGTTCTCTGTTCATTGGTTTGGTTCGTTCGTTTCATTCACGCACACTGCTGCTTGATTTGTAGAAGTTGTTTGGTGTGCTTACAAACTTTTTTTTGTTTTTTTTATATCCCGCCTTTGCTTTGCTAACCAACTACTTGTTCACTTCTCTAACTCTTACACGCCAGTGCTCGATATTATAAAGTTTCTTAACAATTGTAATAAAGTACGTGAAATTATTATAAGATTTAGTTTGTTGTTAAGTGTGAAGTGAAATCTCTGTCAAGTTAGCCACAGATGTTGGTTCAAACGGCAATAACCTTGTTTCGTGTCAACAAAATAATAATAAACAGTGTTGAGAAGTTGTTGAGATGAATTAAACTATACTAACAACACAATAAAAACAAGAATGGATATCGGGAACAGTGGAACTTAAGTTTGTTGCGAATTTAGCCGAGTTCACCCACTTTTCATTTATGGTAAGTTAAAAAGTTTCAAGTTTTGTTTCGTAACTTACACCTTTTTTTGGTACTCACTTTTTTTAGGCATACAATGCCTTTCTCCATCCTTTATGTAGGCTAACGGATGTAACTGGCCTATGTAATATTTTTAATAAGTATTTATTATTATTGTATAATACAATACTATATCTAATATTTAATTTTTGTTTAGACAATAAGTCTAAACAAAAATTAAATATTAGACTCAGTTCAGGTTGAATTTTTTACTTTGGTTGTGCTTTAGGTATTAAGTCGTATATGTAGATTTTTTAATAATATAAACTTTTTAGTGTTTCTTTCTTTTAATAATGAAATTATATATTTAAATATCTACCCCACAAAGATATTTTATTATTTATAAATAATGCATGTCAGTAGTGTTTCAGATGTATTTTTATAATTTGTTAAAAGTATGTACAGACTTAGAGAATACAAAATTCTATATTGTAAAAACATTTTTTTTATGTTAACTTTTTAAAATTTTTACTTTTTCATATTACAACCAATTCTTGTTCCAATCTAAACCAATCAATATGTAAATAAAATTATGATAACACTAATGTAGCTGACAAATATATAATGTTATGTAATGGTAGATCAGATGTGAATCAAAAGTTATTGTAGGTACTTAAGGCATTTAAAATTACTAACTATACAATGCCAAATAGCAATAGTTGAAAGTTTATTTTTATTTAATAATAATAATAAGTATGTTATTTGTATTAATAAGGTAACTGTTTTTAACTTATTTCTTACCAAATAAATTAAATAAAGAAAACATTTTATTATTTTCTAATTACTTAAGTAGAAAATAATATGGTTTAATTTTTTTTTGCTCATAAATATTACTATAATAATTATATTTATAATATTTTTCGAGACATGTTTTGCAACATACAATCGCATTGTGGAATTACCTTCCAGCAATGGTACTTCTGAACCAACAAAATATTGAAACAATCTAGAAAAGAGCTTATTCCTTATTAAAAGACTAGCACTTGCAAGTGAGCCAAAGGGTTTGTTAGTATAAAAAAAAGTTAAGTCCTAGTTAGGAATTTAATAAAGTGTTTAGTACTTGGATATGTTGTAAATACAGTAATGTATTTGCAAGATATCTAAGTACTAATCTAAAACTAATAGTTTAATTAACAAAAGAACTATGTGTACTTACACACTATTGTCACTAAATTACAAGATTGCCCATAATAAATGTAAATTGCCACATGAACACAATGCCAAATTGTTAGAGGTGTATGTTGCAATCCTATTTAGATGAGGCCAAATTAATCATTAATGTCAGCACAATACAACCAATGAAAGTCTCTGAGCAAATGTAACTGGAAAGTAGGTATTAAGTGTATCTGTTTAGGTATTGTCAACTTCAACTTGTAGTTTAGCTATAATTATCTCCTAATATCCATACTAATGCTCTAAATGAGAAAGAGTCTATATGTTTGTTACCTATTTTGCATAAACATCTGTATGATCTTAATGAATTTTATGGGAAAAAAAATTCCATTATGGGGTAATAAAATAAAAAAAGAATTAAGTAATTAATATATTCTTTTTTTATAAATTCTTTTCTGTCACAGCTTACAAATAGTTCTGGAACATCATAAATATATACATGAAAGTTAAACACACAGCTTAAATGCATTTATTTGATTCCTGAAAAATATGATAACAATTTTTTTTCCTTAAAAACACAAAGTTTTCTTTCCCTACCCCGTAATGCCAGATCTGGCGTGACAATATAAAAAAATATTAAGATAATTTTGATAAGATCAAGAATTATATTTCAATCAAGATATTATATTTATTATTTAAAATATAAATAATAAATAGTAGTAGTAATCATAGACAAATAATACAACTGTAGAAAACTAGTAGTGAGACAAAGTATACAGACCGAAGTATGATAGGGTTCAATGAATGGAGACTGTACCAAATAATAAGCTCAAATAATAGGATAAATGCAAAGAAATATGACACTGCTTCTAGTATTCTCCATTATCTATTATTTTATAGTGAAGTAGATAGATATGTATTATATCTCATCTTGATATAAATAAAAGATATAAGAATATAAGTAGTTTACAAATAAATGAACACTTTATTCCGAGAACAACAATGTATACACTGTTATTCTTCACTATAAAATACTAGATGATATACAAAGGTAAATAATGTAAGAAGGGTTCTGTACTACTAAATGAATTACTAGTATCTACATATCTACTATCTATCTATCTTATCACTAGATTATATTAATGAGTATGTGATACAATATTTATGATTCCAAATTCCTTCGATTCTATATTGCAGGCACATTTAGTGTAAACATAATATGGGAATATTACGCAATAAGATGAGGTATTATTAGTAATGGAGGCTAGTGTTCCAATTACTTGTAGTATGCCCAATGCATCAGGAATTGGCAGCGCTGTTAGTCCAACCTCCTCGCAGTTACCCCCTGAAATGGTGTGGCACTGCATTACACTACATCAACAGTAGTTAATGCAGGCGGGTTGTACCATACCGTATGGTGTATTGATTTGGTCAGTACAATTATCATTCTTTAAAAAAACATTACTACGTACTTAGAGACGTGATTGTGTAAACCAACACAAACAAAATTTATCTTGCTTTTTGAAGCAACTCTTATTCTTGGAAGTTAACGATAAGGCTTGATTATGATAATGTTTCATATTTAGTTAATGTATAGGTATTGCATGTACAATATAATTGTGTATGCGGTCAGAAGTTTTGCTATTTAGACACTTCTACTGAATGATTTATCATAAGAGATATAGTAACATAATTTTACACTCGTGCGTAGAATGTTTCCCATCCGTTCGAACTCCCGTCTAATTCAATCGGGGATCGAAATTACAATGGCTTGAACCGAGGTTTGAACTTTATCGGTGCCCTCAGACTAAAGTCGTATCCGTCAGGAGGGAGTTGGCCTTCAGCCGATCTATGAATCCTTCCACCAAGTCCTCCTAATTTGGAGTGCCATCTGCACACGTCAACTAACGTCTGGTGAAGCTATAAAGGCCAGCTGCGGCCAACAGCATAACAGTAATTCGAAAAAAAAATGTTAAAGCTATATATGTATATATTATTTATTACCATTATTCTATAGAACATTAAAGACTGAAGGAAAAGAAAAATAAAAGTATTAAAAACTATGACGCATATATTATTTGTAATAAAAAATTGAATACAATAAGCAATTTTACCGACTTAACAAGCACCTATATAAATGCAGTTGAACGTTGTATTGTGTGCTTCCATTTTTTTAAAGTCTAGTGTATTAGCGTTCATGCATACTCCAGTACCTTATACTATGTAAAGAAAAATGAATGTACATTCGACTTGATACACATAATATAATGTATTACAAAATTTCTTCTTCTATTCATACTTTAGAAGAAATTTTATGTTTTAGTGGCAATTTTCTAAACAAAATAAATATATATATTGTTTATATACTAAGGCAGTTCATGTTCATGTGTTCATGTACAAACAACAATGTGATATATATTTTGTATGAAAAATAAATGACTCGAAATTGCTTCGTAATGCATACCATACCATGTTCTGTTAATGCAAATATTTGGTTGCATTATATTAAAATCGGTTAACTTTCAAATGTAACTTAACATTCAAAGTTATCTGTATTGTAGTGTAAAGTTTTGCACAATTAATATTGATATCTTTTGGTACGTACAGTAATTATTTATACCTTTACGGTTTTACTGTACAAGTTAAATTTACGTATCTGCTTAATTGACATGTCATAAATTTGTATGAAAATATATATACATTATTTTAGAGCATGTTTTCATTTGTAAATTTATTATGTTGATTACGTAAATAATATAACTTACAAGTTGTAAAGTGGTCGTATTCATAACTAGTTGAGCCCGCGAGTTAGGACTCATATAACATGTATGTTTGTTAACCGATTTAAAAAAAAACACAATTTTAAGTGCATCTTACCACTATACATTATCAAATCCAAATTGATTAAACTATTTGCGCGCCAAAAAGAAACGGATATACTCATAAAAATACTAACAATATTTTTTTGGGAACTTTAACCACTTAATAAAACCCCTGTTACGTCGATAAAGTTCTTAATAAATGCTTTTCTCATATATATATATTTTCCGTGTAAGTACAGACAACAATCAGCTACATTTTTATTATATGTACAGATAATCCATCCGTTTCTGCTAATATACTAATTATTCTTGCTGATTCGCTGATCTTTATGAAGTTGACTGTATTATCGCTGCTGCGTTCGAATGAACCCTGCTGATGTTGAGGTTAATGATTGGTACCTATACCAAGAAACAAGCTTTGTTGTTTTCTCCCCTTACATAAGTACTTGGCCGCTCTGAGAGCCCATTGTTTCTATTTGTTTACAAAACTCAGTAATAATAGTTATGTTTTCAGCAATATGTGTATAATTCCTGCCGGCCGACATGAACGCAGGCACGTAGCACTCAGTCAGTTTGCAGTGTTTAGTCTAACGGGAACTGTGTTAATTAAATAAATCTGTTTACTTAATAAAACTAAATTACCCGTGTCTATATATAGACATATATTAAAAAATAACAATCATGAATGTAGAAAATAATGAGATTGTTGGTGATAGTGGTAAAACATTAGTCTATATAAATATAAAAATCTAGACGACCACATTCTGAAACTACTATAGCAATTTTTATAAAATATAATAAGTTAGGTAGAATTTGTACGAATATAATTTTCTTCGTACCTCTGCCTCATCTAATTAATCCGTCAAACAGTTCCTTTTGTAAAATGTATTTTAGTTGAAGGGTGAATATGGTAGTCTGGTATGTCTGTACTGTACTGGTATCTCTGTACATCTGCGAGTGCTGTCACTTACTGTCACCGTTGCTATTCCAATCACATAAAAAATTGTCTTACAAGGTATTGGATTACGA